CTCTCTCTCTCTTTTTTCATTTTGAAAGGTGAACTCAGTACTTCATTTTTCTCACTTGCATTTCTTTACATACTGAGATTGAATAATGTTTTCACAGGTTTATGTGAAACATTATAAAAGGCCATTTAAGGTGGTCTAACATTCTGTAAAATATCATTATTAGTTACATATCTGAGAAAATGTTACTTCTTAGTGGATTGTTAATATTCCATGAATCCCTGAAATGCGCTTTTGTTAGTATCTCTTCCTTGCTGTAAACCTAAATTATAAAATATGAAATACTGTAATTTGTATTTTTTAAATTTATTAAACTAAAAATTGTACATATTACTCTTTCAAACAGCTTTCCAAGTTGTTATCAAAATTATTCTTGTTAGCCAAAGTTAATTGGCTTCTCTTAAGACTTCTATTTCACGTACCATGTGATTTTAAGAACATGGCAGATAGACTTAGTATCTTGATAACTTATTTTCTTTCTTTCCATTTTAATTTCCAGGTCAGGGTAAGTGAGCTAAGTGATTTTTTTTTTTTTGCACAGTTGGTTTTGACAGTGAAATATTTGGATTTTCTTGTCTGTCTAACACAGTCTTAGAATTTTTTCACCTTCATGTTTTTTTATCCCCATTTATGTCAGCTACACAAGAAAGCCTTTGATGTAGTTGATTTACCTCCTGCATTCTTATCCTATACAGTTCTGTCCTTCACTTTTCAGACCCCAGTTTCTGTTCTTTCTTAACTTCTGAGATCGTTCCATTGGGCTTCAGGAACTTACAAATAAGGTATTGATAAAATTCTTGTACATATTCTCAACATCTTTTTTTTTTTTTTTTTCGGTACGCAGGCCTCTCACTGCTGTGGCCTCTTCCGTTGCGGAGCACAGGCTCCGGACGCTCAGGCTCAGTGGCCAAGGCTCACGGGCCCAGCCACTACGTGGCACGTAGGATCTTCCTGGACCGGGGCACGAACCCACATCCCCTGCATCGTCAGGCGGACTCTCAACCACTGCACCACCAGGGAAGCCCTCAACATCTTTCTTGACAAAAGTTTTAAAACTACTTCTGTCACTTAGCTCTCCCATAATGACAGTGCTGCTGTCCCCTGAAGCTCTTTCAAATGTTGTCGTCCCCTTCTATATCTACTTTATCACTAGTACTGGAGTAGTGGTAACTGGTAGTTACCTTCTTGTTACATGTTGCTCTTTCCAGAACATTCTCCTTCATCTTCCCTAAAAACCCTTAGATTTGAATATCAAGCCATAGGATTATACCTCCTGCTACTTATATTTCTTGGAGTTATCAGCCAACCCCTGAATCACTGCCTTGAATTTCTTGAAGATTTTGGCTTTGGGTCACAGTCACTCCACTATATTGCTATCATGATTCTTGGTAATTTTAGTACACATACAGATTATCCTTCTAATACTTTTGTGTCTCAGTTCCTTGAATTCATCTGCCATAATCTTGCCACCCACCTCCACTAACATATTTGTTCTGGAGACCTAGTCAATATTAGTTTCCATACTCTCTTCATAATATCAGTTATCAGTTTCATGTATCCCAGTCTATTATTTCCTGTCTTTCCACCTCACATCCTTTGGTAACCCAATTCCAGTAATTTTTAAACCCACATAAGACCTTAACATCAGTTGATCTTACCAATTTTTCGTTTTCCTGAACCCCCCTTCTACCAACTTAAATTCCATCGTCTATCAATATAATCACTCCCTTACATTTATTATATTCAATTACTTGCCCTTCTTTTCAGTAATTGTACATGATTGAGAAAACCCCAGCTCTACTTAAATGCAAATCCTCATCTGCTCAATACCTCCATCCATTGCAGCTGAGTGTACCTGGAACAAAACCTACAATATACTGTCTCATTTAACATTCGAGTTAACTATCTTCAAGTGATTTCTCTTTATCTTGTTCATCCCATGTCAAATCCATTAGCATTTCTTATTCGCTTTTTATTCCAAAAATATATTGAGAATTTGCCCCACTTTTTACCACCTCTCTTGCTCCTACTCTTGTCCAAACTACCATCTTCTCTTTCCTAGATTTTTATTATAGCCCCCTCGATGGCTTCTCTGCTTTACATTTGACTACAGTTTATTCTCATCACAGCAGCCCAAACCTTTTAAAATGTAAGTCAGATTACGTCTTTTTTTTTCTTTTTCCTTACAACCCCCCAATAGCTTCCCATCTCTCTTACAGTGACCTGTATGATTCCTGAAGTTTTTAAACTTCATTTCTTGCTGTTTCCTTCTCTTGCTAACTCTTTTCAGCCACTCTGGCCTCCTGGCTTTTCTTTGAATCTCCTAAGTGTAATCTTCCTTTAGGGCCTTTTTCACTGCAGTTCCCTCTGCTTGGAAGGCTTTTCCCCAGATTTCCTTGTTCTTAGCTTTGTTAAGGTCTTTGACCTACCTGTTTGAAATAGTAATTCCTCTCATGTACCCTTTATTTATTTTTTTCATAAGATGTATCAGCATTTGCCATACACTGTAATTTACTTGTTCGTCTCTTTTCATTAAAATGTCAGTTCATTGTATCTGCAGCCCCTAGGACAGTGCCTGGCCGTAGTAGGCACTCAAATATTTGTTGAATATTTGAATGATCAATGAATGATCAATGATCATTGATTGATCAATGATCAGTGATCATGATCAATGATCAATGAATGATCAATAAAGTGGTTATCCATTGAAATTGTTAAGCATACTTTAAGCAGGGTGTAGTATGGTTGCGCTAAAAGAAGTTGCATGTTACAATGTTAATGCCTTTGTCCTTCAGTTGCTTAGGTATTGGAAGTATATACACCAAAATGTTAACAGTAGTTGTCTCTAGTTAGTGGCATTTTTTATATCGTTTTCATAATTGTCTTTCAGATTTTAATTCCATTTTCAAAAATAAAATACAAGAACTAGCAAAATGATGTTGTTCACTGAAGGACATAAGGGAAATTAAATCATAGCAGTAAGATTGTTATCACATGTATGTTAGATGAATACTGTATAATAATTTTAAGGATGCTTTTAAAAATAGAAGAAATGAAAGGATTTACCAGTATCTCACTGTAATTTCATCTTCAGAATTTACGTTTCTGCATTAGAGTGAAGTACTCTAGTAACTAAGTCCTCTTAAATGTTGCTCACTAAATTCTAACACAATAGAGGAAAACTTTATACTCAAGCTCTGTGAGGGCTTTTCCTATATCTGCTAATTCTCAGAGTCTTGGTTATTTAAAATAACTTTTATGATCCTTAATGGTCTTTTATGTTCATAATACTGGTGATGATTTTTTTAGGACCTGGATTGTATCTTTTTCATCTTTGGGTTCTTACTGCCTACCACAGTGCTTGGTATATAATAGGTACTCAATAAATGTTTATTGAATAATTTTTTATCAATTGATCAGTGTTCGTATTAGTCTCTCATGGTTATCTTTGTTAGGAGAAAAACTTTTGCTTGGCTAGTAAATCCCCCAATGCTTATAGTAGTTTATCTATATAAGTAGTTGAGGAGTTGTGGGGTGGGGCTGAGGGGGAGGGAGAGAAGAAAAAAGGAAGAAAAGACACAATGATAGACTCTTCCATTAGAAAAGACAAATACACATACATGTTGAATGACAGACTTTATTTTTTTTAACTGGACAGTAATTTCATTGGGGAATTTTCCTAGTGACATGATTTGTTCTTACTCTTGTTGAATTAGGAAAGTATTTTAACTTCAATATTATGATAAACTAGATGTATAAATGTCAGAGCTAATAGCTTAGTATTTTAGTCTTCTACAAATTGATGCCTGTGGTATCTGGACATTTTTTGGCCTCTTCTTGTAAATAAAGTCTCAGTGATGTTTAAGGAATAGCAACTTGTGGCCAGAAAAGAAAAAAAGCTGCATATTATCCAAGCTAAGCAATATAAATGGGGCTAAGGAATCCCCCACTAGATCAAAAATTTCCTAGAGAAAGATCTCTTGAGCTTACAAACTAAAGACCTTCAATATAATTTTAAATAAAGCCTTTTATGTAGTATGAGAGCAATTTTTAGTTGATAATCAATTGCCACTATTATGTAGGCTTACTAGATTTGCAAATTTACAAGTTTTTACAAGTTGGTTGGGTCCCTTCCTCAGGAAGTCAGTTTAAGTTTTTTTTTCCTATATTGACTCAAAGAGCCTAGTTGTCCTCAAATCCTGTGAATATATTTGCCTTATAATTTGACAGCATTGAGTGAACACCCTTATAGGGTCTGTAGTGCTGTAAAAAGAGAAACTGTTCAATAAAAGATCACATTTGAAAAAATTAGACTGTGCTGGATAAAACCAGTATTGGATATGAGTACTGTGCTTTGCTTTAAAGCACCTACAACTATTCAAGAAAATATATCCTGGCCCATTACTACTTTCAAAATGGATACTTTTAGTTTTGGAAAGCAAATGAGCTGTATCTTTGTGAAATTAAACCATGGCTGTAAATAAACTAAATATACAATGAAATATAGGTATCTTTTAGCAGAAAATTAGTCATGCATTTGTGTTAACATTAACGTTTACAGAGATTACAGAACTATTGTAATTATTAAAGTAATTAAACTATCAAACCAGATATGCTTGAGTAAGTGCATGTTGCAATTAATCACTATGTTTAAACACATTATACTAAGTAGATCTTTTTTGAGTATCATCAATGTGCCTGAAGCTATATAGATAATAGGAATGATAGCCTTCAGTTTTTTGAGCACTTATCGTGTGCTGGTCCTTATTCAGTAAACATGGATTAATTCTCAAAGAACTCTATATATGATAGATACATTTGTTATTCCCAGCTTTTAGATTTAGGGACTGAGGCATAAAGAGGTTGAAGAAATTGCCCAGAATTACACAGCTCATATCTAAGCTGGGGTACAGTACTAGAAAATAAGTCAAATTTAAACATGTTAAAAATGTATTGATTAACTAATATTGAATTTTGTTCTCTGTTTTTGTTCACTTTTCTAGTTGATTTGGAGCATATGCGAACAGTAAAACCTGAAAAACACTTAAGGTTTTGCCAGGAAAATGGTTTTAGTAGCCACTTTGTCTCAGCAAAGACGGGAGACTCTGTAAGTAAAATAATGAATACTGAATATTACAAGTGATGTTTTACTTTTATTTTCATAGGAAGTATACTTCTATTACTTAACTTTTGGAACAAATTAATTCCTGTTAAAGACATAAAATATCAGGTTAGATATAACATGTTTATTCTATTTATGGTCCTCTTATAATTCATATAACATAATTTCATGGTTATTTTAGGGAATTAAAAAATACAAAAGTTAAAAATAATATAAATCACTCATAATCTCAGCATCCAGAGATGACCATTCATAACCTCATATGATTCCTTCTAGTCTTATTTTTCTGATGCTCACAAATATTAGTGCTTCTGCCACTAGTGCTAGTGAATTGCATTTACTGAGTGCCTACTTTGTGATGGGCACTGTACTACTCTGATTATCTCTATTTAATTAAATTAATTTATTTTTCCATATTTGACTGGATGTTTATTGTGTAAATCGCCATAACCATTTAAACAAGAAACTTAGAATGATGTTAAAATATTTTTGAAATAGTCCAAAATATCTTCACATATAATTTAGATTTATTTTCCAGCAATCCTAACTGATTATCTCTATTTTATAGAATAGTCTTAGAGAGGTTATGTAGTGGGGGTCCAGGGTACACAGAATAAGTGGTGGAGATAGGATTTGTAAACCTAAGGATTGACATTCCAGGGTTCACCATATTAATCATGCTAAATGTTTATTAAAAAGAAAATTGAGATCATAATATAGAAATAATTTTGTTTTTTTAATTTAATATATTAATCTGTAGAAAATTTTATGTCACTTAATATTACTAAATAGATTTAATAATCCATTAGAGTTAATAATCCGTTAAATAAATGTTCAAAAATTTATCCAACCACGTCCCTATCGTTGGGTATATAGATTATTTCTAAGTTCAGCACATTGTAAAATTTTGTAAAATTTCTAATGTAAAATTTTGTCCATAAGCTGTGATGTTCTGATTATTTCCTTGAAAGGGAATTGAGACCTATTGCCAAATTACCACCAGGAAGCCTACGTTAATTTATACTACCACCAGCATTGTATGAGTGCCATATCACTGTACTCTTTTTAACATTCAGAATTTATTTATTTATTTTTAACTCTTTGTCAATTTGGTAGACAAGGAAAAAAAGGTATTTTGCTATTTAAATTTGAATTTCTTTGCTGTTGAGGTTGAAATTTTAAAAATTTCATTACCTATTAATTTTCTGCTTATTATCTGTTTATAATTTTCTATTGCTTTTTAAAATTTCCTATGACCATTTTTATGTTAGGGATAACAGCCATTTGTCATAATTTTTGCAAATATTTTCCACTGCCCAGGTGTTTGTTTGACCGTTAATTTTCTTGACATTTTCAACCAAAGGAAGTTTGAATTTTTTTCTGTGGTTTAATCTTTTTGATGTTCTTCCTGTATGATTTCACTGATGGTTTTTATGCTTAGGGTAAATATTAAATATTTTAAAGGGTATTTAATCTTTTGGGGGGGTCAGACTCATCTAAAAATGTGACATTTTGGAACCCTTTCCCCAGGATAATGCAAACACGGGCACATACCCACATGTGTCATTTAAAAAATATATAATATCAATATTCCTTGATAAATCCATACATGGATTAGGCTTTCACCCTCATGTATCTTCCTGGGGGTCTTTTGTCATTTTAGAATTATTTTAACTTCCAGTATTTTAGCTTGTGTTTAAATGCGGGCCTCTTACTGTTGTGGCCTCTCCCGTTGCGGAGCACAGGCTCCGGACGCACAGGCTCCGGACGCACAGGCTCAGCGGCCATGGCTCACGGGCCCAGCCGCTCCGCGGCATGTGGGATCTTCCCAGACCGGGGCACGAACCCGTGTCCCCTGCATCGGCAGGCAGACTCTCAACCACTGCGCCACCAGGGAAGCCCTTAAATTCAACTTTGAAATGGTTTGTTCTTGTGAAGTCACTTTAAGACTTGCAGTCATCTCCAATCCCAGTTTACTTCGCTTCATTGCTTAGGGAGTTGAGCTCCTGGCTTACTGTACTTTCTCTAATACTACCTTTGTCATAATTCTTAGTGATTTCAGTATCTTTGTTTTCCACCCCACCTCAGCCACAAACTCCCATGCATTGTCATTACAAATTACTGCAGCCCTTCTGTTATCCCATATTGCAATATCAGGCATCCTAATCACTGACCATCTTGTCTTTCTGGCTCACACCCTTGAATGCCCTAACCCAATCAGTCTGCAACCCCAGCAGGACCTACAAGACATTGATCCTAACACTTTTTCAATGTCCTCCTTTCATGTCCTCATTTTCCTTTCTTTGTAACTTAATCTCATGGCCAATCAAGTCACTACCATGCATATACTGTCAAGTCCCTTTCTGCTCATTCACTTTATCTGACTCATTTGGATAAACCTTAACCAAGCCCCTGCCTTTATATGGTTACACTCTTGTATTTGAACGTGGTCAGAGAAAAAAACCCAGAGGCATGCTGGAGGTTTCACTTACATTTCACAGTAGCTAACCTCAAGTGGGCCCTTAATGCTGCTCAGTAATTATGCATGTCCTTAGGCCATTATCTCTCCCCCTCACCTATACCACTGTTGCGTAGCTTCTCTTCTCTCCTCAGATCTTCAAAACTTCCTTGTCCATTCTCTCAGCTGATGCCCTTGTTTCTTATTTTATAAAATATTTGCAACAAACAGAAGACAACTTTCACATAACTCCTGCCACCACATCTACCCCAACTCTCCTTCCCACCCCATATCCCTTCCCGTATCTTCTGTCTCCTCCAAGGTTACTATGGATCTATACTCCTAGCTAGGGTCAACTCCTCCACTGTGCATTAGTCCCGTTTCTCTTTGCCTAACAAACATTGCTTAGCAATTCTCACTCCTGCATCATTTTTTTTCTATCTACTGGATTATTCTATCAGCACACAAAATATTATGACTTATCTTAAATACAAGAAAACTCTTGATCCCACATCTTTAGCTATTGCTTACTTCCCCCCCAGTTACCAGTGGAATGTTTTGAAAGAGTTGTCTCCAGTTCTCTCCTCCCAGTTTGTCTTGAGCAGTTCTAGTCAGACTTTTGCCCCCAATATTTCACCCCAAAATGCTCCTATTAAGGTCTACCAGTGACCTCCTTTTTGCTAAATTCAGTGGTCAGTTCTTAGTCCTTATCTTACTTGATTTAGTTGCAGCATATAAAATAGTTGATCACTCTCTGCTCTTTGAAATACCTTCTTCACTTAGATTCTAGAGTACTACACCTCCTGGTTTCCCTCCTACCTTGCTAACTACTCTCTTAGTCGCCTTTGCTAATTTCTTATCTCTCCAACTTCTAAATATTGAAGTGCCCTAGGCTCAATCCTTGGATATCTCTCTTTTTTAAACTTAGTCTCTTAGTGACCTCATCTAGTCTCATGGCTTTGGCCAGACCTCTTCCCTGAACTCCAGATTCATATACCCCAGCACTCCTGCTTAGGTGTCTAACAGCCAGTCTCAATTTAATTCAGGTCCAGAACTGAGCTCTTGGTATTCCCTCTTCAGATCTCTCACAGTCTTCCCCACTTAAATAAATGGCAGATCTTCTACCAGTTGCTAAGACCAAGAAAATTTTGGAGTCATCTTTGACTCCTGTCTTTCTTTGACATACCACATCTATCACCAAGTCCTGTTGGTTCTACTTTCAAAATATATCCATAATCTGGTGACTGTTTCTTACCATCTCCACTGCTACCACTTAGTTTCAAGCCTCCATCATCTCTTACATTAGAGTCCTTGATGATTTCTCTTTTTTACCCTTGATCTTCTATAGTGAATACTCAATACAACAACCAGGTTGACCTTGTTAAATAGAAGTCACATCAATCCACCCTCCATTTCACTCAGAGTGAAAGCCAAAGTTCTTCACATAGTTTACCAGATCTTACATGATTTGTACACTCTTAATCTCTCTGCTAGTTTTCTTCTTACAATCCCCTTTTTCTCTCCATTCCACCGCACTAGCTTTCTTATTTCTCCTTGAACATTGACCATCAGTGAACTATAATATATAATGCTCTTTGGGGTACAAATGACATAAACCTTTTGGGGATATGTATCTGTTTTTGATTAGGGATCGAAGTTAAATTAGTAAAGTTGTGATAAATATTCAGTAAGTAATCATGAGATAAGTAGGGATAAGAATATGATAGAGCACTTACAGAACAAAGACAAGTTATGCATTAGAGTCGGTGACCGATTCGTGTCTATAGATTTTTGTTTAATGATAATGGAGTATACTGCTCATTTTCTGTTTGATAAAATACAGTAAAGATTATAAGTTTTTTGCTCAAGAGATATGGAGAATTTATTAAAATTGATGAGAACCACAAAGATTATTAAAGAGTTGTAAAGTAAGACCTTTGAAGATAGGCTAATGCCAGATCAAAAGACTATTGTAGAACTGGCAGCGAGAAACTTTACCCAGGTAGTAAAGTATAGACTAATTTATTTTCATTTTCTTCAGGACTTATAGGAGTTTGTTATTATGCTAGTAGTTTTTTTTTTTTAATTTGGTAGCTGTAATTAATTGTCTTATGTTAAATCTTTAAAAGCATAAGTTTTTAGGGATAAATGTATATTTAGACCAGTTCAGTGAAGTGTATGGCTTTTCAAATTATGGTTTAATCATTTAAAAAATTATTATACTTAAAATGTTGCTGTATTTGACAAATAAAGCTATTTTTGGAATAACCTGGTACATCATATTTTTTGCAGTTTTTGCTGTTTATCACTTTTTAGAAAGTTCAATTTATTTGAAAGTAACTTAAACATGCCTGTTTTAAATCATTTAAACCTGTTTTTGTTATGTAGGTCTTCCTGTGTTTTCAGAAAGTTGCTGCTGAAATCCTTGGAATCAAGTTAAACAAAGCAGAAATAGAACAGTCACAGGTGATTATATTGAACTGTATATTTTAAAAAATAATTTATTTCTTAAAAGACATTAATTTTCACCCTGAATCCTTTTACATTCATGCATCCTATGTACATATTCCTAAAAGCCTTAAAAATAGACTGTGTGTATGAATCAGTGTTTATTGCAGAAGATGGAGGATGTTAACTTTTTGCCAAATGATGGAACCTCATTGAATCCTCATTTTGTCCTTTTTGTTGGAAAAATGAGATTAATGCAATAAAAATTTCATCAGTGGTTAAATAATGGGTTAAGGAACTGACTGTATTATTTTGTACTTCTTTATTAAAGTTCTTCTTCCATGATTACTGTACAATATCCTTTTTATATTTTATACAAAATCCCAACTATAATATTTATCAAAGGTTAGTCTTAACTAGTAAGAATTTACCCCATTTGGCATCTTCCACATTTGCTTTGGTAAAACATTAATTTTTCTAAAGTCTTGCTCTCTGTTCTTCTCTAAAAGGTCCTGCCTTGTAATGATATTAATTCTTCATGTTATTTTATTGTTAATTTAATAATGGTATTAATTATTGAGGATTTCTGAATTCTTTCACTATTTGTAGACAGTTCTCTTAGACTAAGAAATAAATATGAATACCAATAATCAAGCATTTAAAAATACCGCTACAATAGCATACCAATTCACATGTTTGATTGAATGAAAAATCAGAGCAAGAGTCTGTAGTTTAAAGTCAGGCTTCGGAAGTGATTTGCTTAGAAGCAACATATAAATTACACTTTCCCTTAATCCCCTCCACTCTTTCCCTGCTCTGTGAAGCTAAAAAAGGTATAACAATCTTTCCCCATCGTTAAATTTTTCTTTAATTCTTTTAGAGTTAGTTCTGTCATGGTCGCTCTTTGTGTGTGCATGTGTGTGTGTGTTTAAATAACTTGAGCAGATATCAATTGAAAATTGTTTAGGGAGGGTGGGAGGGAGGGAGACGCAAGAGGGAAGAGATATGGAAACACATGTATATGTATAACTGATTCACTTTGTTATAAAGCAGAAACTAACACACCATTGTAAAGCAATAATACTCCAATAAAGATGTAAAAATAAAATAAAAATAAAAGAAACAAAAGAAAATTGTTATGCTGATATGGCTGTTTCTAGAATTTCATTAAAATATTTGGAACTCTGGAAATCTGCTACTTTTATTTCTCATTATTCAAAAGACATTTCAGCACTTACTGTGGCCAGGCACAGTGTTCCGATATTTGTGCCATATAAATTGCTCCCAGACACAAAAATAGCTACTTCGTTTTGGCCTAGGAGGATGGATACAAGAAAGAGAAATTACCATGATTTGCTTGATAGTACTGACCTTGGCAGACCCCAGAGGTCAAGTGATTCCTCTGCTTTTTAGCTTCACTTCCTAAATGATGTTTCTCCCTGGTTAGATAGTCTATGAATGATTATCAAACAATCATAAATGATTTATTGGTCATATAAGTGTGGCTTAGTGGTGGATTCAGAGGAGAATTAAAAGAGTTTAAGATGCAGTCCCGGGCTTCCCTGGTGGTGCAGTGGTTGAGAGTCCGCCTGCCGATGCAGGGGATACGGGTTCGTGCCCCGGTCCGGGAAGATCCCACATGCCGCAGAGCGGCTGGGCCCGTGAGCCATGGCCACTGAGCCTGCGCGTCAGGAGCCTGTGCTCCACAACAGGAGAGGCCACAACAGTGAGAGGCCCGCGTACCGCAAAAAAAAAAAAAAAAAGATGCGGTCCCTGCTTTCAGTGAAGAAAATTAATATGTGCTAGGCACTGTGTTATCTCATTTTGCCCTTATAATAACTCTGTGGGGCAGGTGGCACTTCATCATTTTATGGGTAGAAAACTGAGACTGTGGAGACGTTAAGTAACTTGATCTATTAATCTACAGCTAGGCAGTGGTGGAGCCAGGATTTGAACTCAGGCCTGTCTGATAGCAGGGCCCCTAATGTTTCCATTCTGCCATATTAGGGGAAGATTTACTGCGTAGTTTGTAGTAGGGAGTTGAAAAAGAAGCTGGCATGAAACAGTTGAAAGCTTAGGTTGTATTTTGGAAACAGAAGAGTAGTTTGGTTAAAATAAATGACCATTTGTGTTGGAGTGTGCAGGGAATTTGAGAAAAAGATTATGGAGATTTATGAATGCCAAGTTGATAAGTTTTATCTCATGTATTGACAGTGGAAAATAATTTTAAGTAGGGAAATAAATGAAAGCAGTTTTTAGATAGGATTAATCTAATGGGATTTGTGTGTGTGTGTATGGATGTGAAAGAGATTGAAAGCAAGGAGACTGGGTTACTGTCCTCATGTGATAAGGACCAGAATTGGGGTGGAAGGGAAAGAATGGATGTAAGAGACATTTCACAGAAGAATCAATAGGACTTGTGGAATGACTGGATAAAAGGGAGAAGTCCAAGATCACGTTGAGGTTTCTCACCTG